AGGATTTCAAAGGGCTCTTTACCCACTTTGTTCAGTGCAGTTTGGAAAGTGTACTTACGGGGTACATGTTTATTATTACAAGGTATTACTTATCAATGGTGGTGGCAGTTTCCTAGTCTTCATTATCATTATAGCTAGTGTTAACAATTAGAACTATTACTTGTGAAACATCTTTAGCAGTCTCAAAAATGAAATCTTAAAATCCAAATCTTAAATTGTTATTCACAATAGCACCTTTTAGCTAAAGGTACTTCTTTTTCAAGTGGCTCAGAAAAGCTGAATTGAGAATTTTTTAATATTAACTGTAATCCACCTTCAGTTCCCAATAAGCCATTTCAGCAGGAAAACTCATAAAGCTGAGGTGAAGCAACAGATAAATAGGATATAAAACATAGCTGTTCAAGGTAGAACGGTATGAATATGGACCTGTAAAACAAGCATTCAGTTAAAATCATGTCAGTAGTAGACTGCTTGCTTACTCAATGCCTAATGTTGAAAGTAAAATCTGCTTTAGTTCAATAGTTTTGCCTGATTTTTATTTAAAATGATAGGCCAATTTTTCGTAAGAGGTCAACTTGCAACACTGCTGGATGTATCATCAACTAAAAAATAAACATAACTGGCTCTTTTAGAGGATAAAAATCTAAGTAAAACACTAGAATTAGTTTTCAGAAAGGCTATTAATTTATTTTTAAAAGTAACTGGGCCATTGCTCTTAATATAGTACCAATAATTAAATGTTTTTAAGGATAGGTTTCATAATGAAACTTTTACTCATTTCTTTAAAATGAGCCAAAAAAGTAGAAAAGAGAAGGGAAGATGTCCATTCCTCCTTATCACTGTAATAAGTAATGGTAATTGAATACTCTAGTGAAAAGAATCAATATTTTGCTAAATCTCAAGATATACTGATTATTTATACTGAATTATTTCTCTCCATTCATATGCTTAAAAATTCTTTTCCTCAGTCCCATGAATCAACCATAGTTTTAGTAGATTGTTTTTTAGGCACAAGTTAAAAAATCATAAAAACACAGAACATGCTATCATAACAAGATAATCTCAAAAAAAAAAAAAAAAAAAAAGTAGGAGAGGGCTGCTTACCATACAATGTTGTAAAAGAGCAGATTCATTCGTTTAGAGAAATTGATGGATTTTCATTACTTTTACATTTTATAAGGCTAGCTAACTTTAACAGTTAACTTCACATAAATATATTTGCACATTACAGTTAACTCACAAATACTAAAAATGTTTCATAATCAAAATGGCTACTACCTCCCCCCAAACCAAAACAGAGTAAAGCACAAGTCTTTGGCTCTCCTTTAAAGAAAACAGCAGGTTACCATTCTTAACCAGACCTTTGTTTGCCTACCAGTAGGGCAAATACCACATTTGTGCATCACTGAGTAATAACACCATTAGAAAAGGCAACTTCACAGAAGTTATTGGCTAAGCGAATTCATTTGAATGCTCTGTTTTGAGGCAGCAAACTGTTACTGTTGCAGATTGGGGAGGGCAGTGGGTAAGTAAGGGGGAATTGGCAGGATGGAAAGGGCCAGAGGGGGGAAAAATACACAGTCACCAAAAAATTTAGGAGTCAAACTTTGAGCTCCAACCCTAAAGATCTATGGAAAGTCTGATGAAGTTACATATTCAAAGTAGCAAATGAGAATCAGCAATTTTGTCTTTTAGCAAAAGAAGAAATAAAAGGAAAAGAATAGGAAAATGGAGGGAAATAAGATGGGAGAAGGGAATCACCCACATTAATTCTGTACTGAGTAATTTTTATGCATTCTGAGTAGTTGAATATTTGTAGCTGGCATTAGCGATAGTGTCTTATCATTTGAATAATATTACCAGAAACCTATGCCATAATTAGTTTTTCTTTTAATTAGAAAAGTAACAAAGAATTAGTCTTTGGTCATTTCAGTCTCTGTACATTACCAAAGAAAGGGCAGCTGTTGTACTTATATTATGACAATATTCACAAATAGGGCAAAAAAGCTTTGTTTAAAGCAGGAAATTGAACTTAAATGTGTTACTCTCAGTTCTTCTAACCTTTCCAGAGATCCTTTGAAAAAAGAATAAAATACTTTTATATTCCTTGCTATAATAAAATCCTGACTTTGTTACCTAAAGAGTGAACACAATGCCTTCTTACTTCTACCATAACCCTCTCAGATTGTTCATGCTCATCTGAGATGTCTATCAAAGTCTTCCTTTTGAGTGAAAAGCAAATAGTCATCTTCAGAAGAAATTAGTATTTTAATACCATGCATCTACCTGATTATCTCTAAACTGTCTCTAAAGGAACAAATAAAATAAGAATGCCAGAAAAAGCAAGGCCTTTCACAGATTTGGACAAAAAAGCAGTTATGCTCAAATAGGTTGCTTACACCCTTACAGGTTCATCGTATCACAGCAGGTATCACAGAGAACAGGAAAAGAAAAATTCCACAAGGTTTAGGGCTTTTATTGCATTCCTAACCTGTTGGTGAGAACTAAGCAAGCTGTAAAAATTTTCATGACGTAGGACAGAATGATCAATTCAAATAAGTAGGCACAACGGAACAGTATATCATTCTTCCACCTTTTTACCTAACCAGTTTGCCTGGAGTGGGGGGGTCTTAGAGGGTACAACTAGAATTTAGGCTGCAATTTAAAAGATTATTTTTTTTTCTTAAATGAAAATATTTAAAAGTGAAAGAGACCATAGTAAGTCTCAACAGGAGCTTTTCTGGAATTATTCAGAATAGGAATACTGTATAAATTAATCTCTGCTCCTGCCTAGTTCACAGAATTAAAACAGTGAATGCAGAAAGAGTGTATTTGAAGGGACTAAGAACATTAACAGAGGTTATAGGGTGTCCAATAGATGCTCAGAATAGAACTTTACTTTTACACTAAACGTCAACAAAATCAATACCAATAAATTCCCTTCCAGTACCAGAATATTTATGAGTTCCAAAGTGAACCAAATGCTTCCAAAATTTAGGAATTATCTGACAACTCCAAAGGAGAAATAAGATGTGCCCAAACTTGCCTTGGTTGGAGGCCAAGAATGTTGCCTTTTATGGTTATGCAGAGAAACAAAAAAATCTTGGGACTCTGTCAGATATACAAAAGTCTCTCTCCTTCTCCCAATAAAAAATACACACTTAAAGGGTAAATATAAGAAGGTTTTGAATGAAAGTGGAAAAGAAAGAAAAAAAAATCAAGTTTGTTAAAAAAAAAAAGAAGTGGGTATCAACTGAAAAAATGCCTCATCTTCATTCATTGCTTCTACCTCCCAATCATTTTATCGCAACAGCTGCGCTCATGCGAAAAAAATCCTTAAAACATACCCAATATATATACAGATATAGCTATGTATATCTGTATATATATAATATATATATATAAATTTTTATTTAAATAAAAAAGAAAGCTCGAATCCCAAGCCAATATGTGTATATCAAATCCTTGACCAGCCAGGTCTGTAGGGCATAATCAAATTCAATGTGAAATAGTATATAACACGGTGCCTTGACTGGGCAAATTAAATAATTGCTACTCAAGAGAGTGTTCTGTTTGGACTCTCCTACTGGTAGGCAATGGCAGGACTGTATTGCCCCCCTCCCCCTATTTGCTTCAGTTAACAATATGATAGACACAGAGCTTAGGCTGAGGTTGTTATGACCTCAGCAGGAATTAAGGGTTAAGAAAAAAAAGAAACAAGAAAAATATAAACTCTTGCTTTTACCCAACCAAAGCAATGCAGTAACTTATTACATAACCAGTGCTTTCTGATTTAGTAGTATAATCCAGAAAGAGGGGAAAAATTGGGCAAACAGAAGGATGGGGGAGGGTTAACATATCTTTAATAGGGTCTTAATTCAATATAGACACGTGGCATCAGAGTATGTGCAGCAGAAGTAAATAAAACATTTCTTCCTCACACTTTTCAACATTGCCACTAACTTTTTCGATATTGTAAAGCCAAGTACATAAGAACTGACTTCTAGGTATTTACTAACAGCTTTTTCTAATGATTCTGACCAGCAATAACCGATTAATCCCTAAATTATCCATAAGACCCAGGCAGTTCCTATTTGTCAAATCTCTGAAAGCCAGGGACTCCAGTATATAGGAAATTTATTTTATACTTTTGGGTTTTAAGAGTGAAATAAAAACATCTATTGGAAGAATGTGGCTCTGCTTATTGTATGTTCAAACCAAGTGTTAACGTTTTAAAACATGGTTGATATGGTTGATGTCCTGTTTTCTTTTTTTAGAACACTCTGATTTCAGCAAAATTTCAGTTTGAAAAACATAGCTCCAAATTTCCAACCATGAGCTCAATGTAGGGGGGGCGGAAAAAAAAAACAAACCCAAACATGTATTTTTGGTGCTGATTTAGTCACAGTTCATCCTTAAAGTAATCTCCATTTAAACAAATAATCTAAATGTAGATTAGCTTTCTGATTACATTAAGAGAATGAAAAGGCATCCGTGGTATGAATAAGGGGCTTCTAAAAACAAACTATCTGGTAATCATCTCTGTATAAAAACCAGAAATAAAACCCTCACAAACAGCACACACCTACACACCCACACCCACACACATTAATGCCATAACGAAAGAAAAAAACACCTATACATGAAGCTAGTGACCCAAAGAGGAGGGAAAAAACTACAGTTTCCAAATAACAGCTCTGAGAAAAGTGAGTTTGCTGCACATTTTCTAATTGTCTATGATGGTGACTCTGTTCCTCAAGCACCACAAAACTCTCAAAAAGGTTGGTGCTTTTTGCCTGCTTTAGTTTATGGGGTAGTGAGAGTTGGAAAGGATTGGGAATAAGGAATTATACACTGGGTATGTAATAATACCAAAATACAAGAGAAACCTACTTCATTAAGATCATACAATTAATCAAACAGAGTGTATATATAATATCTTTTTTTTTTTTTAAAGCCCTGGATCCAAGGCGTCCAAAGTTATTAAAATAAAGTTCATTCACAGAACAAAAACAAATTTAATCTGAATTGCTTGCAGATACTGCTAATTTTTTTTTTTCTTAAATTAAAAAATGCATTAATGTGAACTATGTGCAGGGTTTGTTTTTAGTAGTGGTGTTTGTGCACATTGCCTCCAATGCCTTTCCCGGATTTCTCAGACCACTCTTAGAGATAAGGTTTAGAAGTTATCCATTCTCCTACCCCACGCCCCACAGATTGATTAGGAGCAGAAGATAAAAGTAGGACTCTTCATATTTTAGGAAGCAGAACTGGGTGTAACTCCCGATCTCTGGGAGTCATTATTATCTCCTCCTCCCTCAGGGTCGTCTGATAGGTTTAAAGAGCTGGCCTTGTTTGATAGGAGGCTGATATTCTCTTGTGTCAGGGTTGATCCATTCGGTACATCACTGTTAACACATTTAAAACAAAACAAAACAAAAAAAAAAACAATGAGGATTTTCTTTTACCACTAATAAAAAATATATGGATGGATTTCCAACTTTAATTTACAGCTCCATATCCATGTTATAGCACAGGGAATGGAAAACTATGACGGCTGACTACTTGTTTTTGTAAATAAAGTTTTATTGGAACACTGCCCACTCATTTGTTTACCTATGGTCCGTGGCTGCTTTCACACTACAATGGCAAAGTTGAGGGTTATGATAGAGGCCTAAAGACCATAACCTAATCTCTGGCCTTCCAAGAAAGTCTGCTGATCACTGCTTTAGTAAGTTTACTAATATTAAGAACTTACTTTGAACAGAGGATAATACGACCCTGAAAGCTACACAAATCCAAGCCTGAAAGCAGTAGGGCACTGAAAATTCTTGTTACATATCATCAGGAGGACAATTCAGAGAACTACACATCAAAAGCCTCAAAATAATCCTAAAGAAATAACTAAAGATGTGTGAATAAACACAAAATTGTTTATTGCAGGATGGTTCATGATAGCTGGTATGTATCCTTCCATTGCTATAGAAGCTATGGGCCACACCAAATTAAAAATGGGGGTGGACCTAGGGATTTGTAAAATCAAGCAAGGGGGGATAAATGCCCACACACTTAAAAAAGACTGGAAAGACAGACACCAAAATGTTAACATTAGTTGTCTTTGGGTGTTGGAATTGTAGGTGATTTAAACATTTTTTTTTCTAAAGTTTTCTATTTCCTACAATTTATTTCTCATAATATATTTAAAATACAGGAGGAGATTCCCCCTGCCCCCATTTTAGTATTATTTATGTTTTAATAGAGCGAAGATCTTACTTATCATAGTTATGAGGGTACTTTTGACATAAGTGGGCACTAGAGTTATTTCTCTTTTATGTGTAGTAGTACAGTAAGAAAATGTGCCTTTGTTTACCTGAATGTCAATGTAAGGTCCTCAGCGGGAACTTTGTGTTGTGGTTCTGGCTGTCCATTTTCTGCTTGTTTACTGGTATTCAATTTGTTTTTCATGTCCAGAGAACACTGGCTCTCCTTTAAAAGAGAGGGAAATAAACTCAGTTATCTTCTATTCAGAAGCTGTGGTAGTACAAACCCACCAGCCACTCCTCAGAAGAATGGGCAATCAACTTCCACAGAGACACCACCTCGGAAACCCAAGGAGGGGTCGCTATGAGTTGAGGGGACTCAATGGTGGTGAGGGTTTTTTTTTTTAAAATCTTCTATTTAATGACACTAATGGAAGAAAGAACAAATACAGATAACAAAAGCAAACTGATGATCCAGAGCATATTTAGTTTTACAAAATGACTAGAGACACAGAAAGACTAAAGGAGGGATGTAAATAAAAAGATAATTGTGTACAACCCATGTACTTACTACCCAAGCTAGACAACAGGAGGGAGAATGCCTCAAGCTCACATGGAAAAGTCTCACAGAAAAGTTGGTATCTTACAGCAAAGTAGTAAATCTGATTCCTTCTCTGCTTTCCATGATGATTAATCAGTATGTTTAAAAGAAATTTATTTAAGAACTTCCAATGAACCACTTTGTTCTTCCTAAGTTTTTTAAATGTAGAATCTTAATACAAAGAACATGCCTAAACCAAATAGGAATGAGGAGGGGAATGCCAAAACAGGGAGGCAGTCCATCTTCGTAAGACTTACCCTAAATTATCAGTCACTCATCAGAGTACCTTACAGTAATTAATTCTCATGTAACAGCCATTAATTGCACAAAAGCTTTCATTTCATCTTCTCCCTCTTTTCCCACCATTAACACTTACCATACTCAGTTCCCGAGTTCTCTTTCCAATTTCCCTTTCCACTTGGTGCAGCTCCAAGCTCAACTGTTCACTTGAGATCATTCCAGGCCATTTTGGAGGTGGCTGTGGAGGCTGTGACTGGCTTGCCAGGGTGTTCACCTCCCTCTGCAACATCAGCCTGTTACTAACAGCCTAAATACATAAAGCCAAGCACATACACAACTCAACACACTTCACACCATGCACAGAATGGCCAGGCCCAATTCCAGATCACAGCCTTAAGTAACTTACCACTGATGTATTTCTAATAAAATTATGCAAGAGTAAGACACTATCTCTTCCTATGACCACTATTTGAATAAAGAAAAAGTAGATTTAAAGTTAAAACTTCAGTTAGGTAGAGATAAGTATTGCTTTGGGTGAAGAGAAGGGCAACGTACCAAACGTGACTGATCAACATGGTGGCGTTGATGAAGAGGAGACAGAGTGAGGTACATGGGAGGTCCAGACAACAAAGATGAAGCCTTTTGCACATACAGTACTATGTTATCAGTGAAGGCAAACATGGGTGTATGAATGGATAGATGGGTGGACAGGCTGAATGAACTATTAGGTATGTTTATGCAGTGGGGAGTGTACCCAAGACCACGTATAGGGTTGGCAGACAAAGTTCTACAAGTGTATTTGTATGTTCTGTAAGAACTCCCAGGTGTGTAGTAGAGCTGACAAGAGGCAAGGTGGAAGTCACTGATTGGTCATAGCCAGCGACCCAGAGGGACTGAGTAGTTGAACGTGTGGGCTCAGGACCATAGTCGCAGGGGACATCAAGCTCAATTGGCATAACTGCAGTGTAGTAAATTACTTAGTGTGGCTTTTCTACCCATAAGTCTTTGTAAACTCCAAGGTGGGATTTTCTATGAGCAACTGAGGAGCTATCCACCTGGGTTATTTCTGTTGGGCGTGGCACAATACAATGTTCTGGGAGGTTCCCACTCTCTCTCACGTGCTTAGAGTTCTGATGCTGTGATTGGCTAGTTTGACCACCCTTCTGGGCTCAAAAGGAGGCCTCCTGGAGGCAGAACTCTTTCTGACTGCTGGTTCAGGAAGACGTGCTGCTGAAAGAGACACGCGCCCCTGAAAGAGACAGGCGTTGCTGGGAAAGAGACGCAAGAGACACGCATTGCTGAGTGAGACACCGAGGGACCAGTGCTGCTGGGAAAGAGACTGTGAGAGACTCTTGGCTGAGGGACGGTGGGCTGGGAGAGAGACTGAGCATTTTTCTTGAACTTGAGTTGTAGCCTGGTGCTTCCCTAATAAACCCCATAATCTGTGAGTTCTGTGTGGCCACTGCAGTGAATTATCGAACCCAGGAGAGAGGTGGTGGGTGTCTTGGGAGGAACGGTTGGTGAAAGGGCTGGAGGGAGGCAGCATGTCTGGCCTTGCAGTAATAGGCCTTGGGTTACTGCTGGTAATCCTGTCTTCCTCTTGTGGGATTAGAGAAGGTCAGAACATGTGGCCTCCTTGCTGTTTTAGCAATAACATACTACACAAAACATTGTTCCATGTCCTACTTTGGTGAGTAGCGACTGGGATCTTAAAAGCTTGCGAGCTGCCATCCAGATGCAACGATGGGTCTCTCCTTGTCCACAGCAAAGAAGAATGAAGAAAACCAAAAATTCATGGATACAATCAGTCCTAGCGACTGGTACATCATCCAATCTGCAGCCTATACGACTATGAGACCAGAAGAACTAGATGGTGCCCGGCTACCAATGTCAACCACTTGGAAGGGGATCTATGTAGGAGATCCTTGATAGAGAGGGAGAACAATGTGGAACAAAACTCAAAATCATTTGGAGGAAAAAAAAAAAAAAAAAAGGGAGGGGGGGACCAGGTTTGCTGGTATGATAGAGCCTGGTAGAACCACTGAGACTATGGCCCCTAGCTACTCCTTCAGGTCTGGAATTGAACCCACACCTGTGGCTTCCAGCCAAACAAAAGACAGGCATATGAGTTGAACATTTACCTGAGGTAGATACACTCCTTGGAGAGAAATTATGGGAGAAAGAAGGGCTGTTTATGCACAGGGAGACAGCTCAAGGGGGCAGGAGTGCATGGAGGGATGAACACAAGGAAGAGGTAACTATCAGGAGGAAGTGTGAGGGGAGCTGTTGCATTGGGGTAAATTGTAGTCAATGCCATGATACAAAGTGTATGTGAACTACTGTATGGAAAGTGAATTTACTCTGTAAACTTTCACCCAAATCACAATAAATAATAATAATAAAAAAAAACTTCAGAAATGCCAGACTTCTAACTGTAGTATTAAATATGTGGCAAGCTTTCAAATGATATTGATATTCTTTTGGGCCAAAAACCGGATCTAGAAACTTCAAGTAAGACAAAAATCCATAAATTAGCAGGATAAGCATGCCCTACATGGTTAAAAGTCTGAATCTTCAAAAACTTAACTTAAAAATGGATATAATCAGACTTAACATTCTTTTTCACAGAAGGAATCTTTAGACCAGTATCAATAAAGCAATGGCAACAATAGACAAAAGATGAATACTACGTAGCATTTTGTATTTCTAAATCTTACTGGTTATATAGGAGCATAAGCCAGACATGTGCTCCTCAATACAATCTCCAACGAGTCTTCCTAACAAGAAAGTCTAACGTAAGATTAATTACAAATTTTACACCATAGGAATACCTTTATTATTAAATATTATAATAGGAAGACAAAGACTAATGTTCTAATGGTACCTTTTTATTCCCCCTACTCACTCACAGTGAGACTGCTGTCAAGTTGAATTGACTCATAGTGACTCCTCCTTGGGTTTCCGAGGCAGTATCTCTATGGAAGTAGATTGCCCAACCTTCCTTTCAAGGAGTGGGTGGTGGGATTTATCATTAAAACTATCTTTTTTTTACCCCCTATATTCAAAGAACATGTCCCCACATAAAGGATGGTCTAAACAAAACCCAATCTTCCTTATGCAGTACACCAAGGATTTTTAAAATTCTTTGTTTTCTGGTATTTTATTTTCCTAAGTGAGAGGGATCTATAAAATGGAGATTGTACTACCTCCCTAAGCTACCTGTCAGAGACATTGTGAGCATCAAATAAGATGTTGTTAGGTGCCGTCAAGTCAGCTCCGATTTATAGCAACCCTACGTACAACACAACGAAACACTGCCTGGTCCTGTGCCAGCCTCACAATTCTTGCTCTACCGCCCATCACTGCAGCCACTGTGTCAATCCATTTTGCTGAGGATCTTCCCCTTCTTTGCTGACCTTCCACTTTACCAAGCATGACATCCTTCTCTAGGGAATGGGTCCCTTCTGACAACATGACCAAAGTAGGTGAGACGAAGTCTGGCCATTCTCGCTTCCAAGGAGCGTTCTAGCTGCACTTCTTCCACAAAAGATTTGTTCATTCTTTTGGCAGTCCATGGTGCTGTCAGTATTCTTTGCCAACACCACAACTCAAAGGTATCAACCTTTTCTTTGGTGTTTTTTGTTCACTGTCCAGCTCTCACATGCATGTGAGGCAACTGAAAATGGCTTGGGTTAGGCACACCTTAGTCTTCAAGGAGATAACTTTACTCTTCAGCACTTTAAAGAGCGCTTTTGCAGAAGATTTGCCCAGTACAGTATGTCATCTGATGTCAACTGCTGCTTCCATTGGTGTTGATCGTGGAACCAAGTAATATGAAATCTTTAGCAAGTTCAATCTTTTCTCCATTTATTGTCAGACTGCTTAATAGTCCAGTTGAGAAGGAATCCATACTGCAGATTGAAGTTTTTTTAATCTATATTAGTAAGTGCTTCAAGTCATCCTTACTTTCAGCAAACAAAGTTGTGTCATCTGCATATCTCAGATTATTTGCTCAGCATACAGACTGGGTAAGTATGGGCAAAAGATATAGCCCTGATGCACTCCTTTCTTGATTTTAAACCATGTAGTCTCCCCTCGTTCTGTTCAAACAACAGCCTCCTGGTCTATATACAGGTTCCTGAAGAAGGATATCATGCTTGGTAGGGTGGAGGGTCTTACTGGTGTTCAATACATCAAATCTATTCTTCAGATGGTCTCTAAGTTCAGGTAGGATATAATCAAAGTCATATTTTGGCTCTTCTGGACTTGTTTTAATTGTCTTCAGCTTCAACCTGAACTTGCATATGAGCAGTCGATGGTTTGTTTCACAGTCAGCTCCTGGCCTTGTTTTGGCTGAAGATATTTAAGCTTCTCCATCACCTCTTTCCACAGATTTAATTGATCTGATTACTGTGTATTCCATCTGGCCAGGTCCACAGGTATAGCAGCCATTTATGCTGAGTAAGTTGTTTGACTTGCAAAAGTCCATCATGTGATCTCTGGCATCATTTCTATCACCAAGCCACATTTTCCAGCTACCCGTAATTCTTTATTTCCAACTTTTGCATTCTAACCACCAGTAATAATCTACACATCTTGATTGCATGTTTGGTCAATTTAAGACTGCAGAATTTGGTAAAAATCTTCAATTTCCTCGTCTTTAACTTTGGTGGTTGGTGCGTAAATTTAATAATAGTAGTATTAACTAGTTTTCCTTGTAGGCATATTGATGTTATCCTATCACTGTATTGTACACAACATTGTACTTCAGGATAGATCTTGAAACATATTTGTGATGATGGATGCCACATCATTCCACTTCAATCTGTCATTCCTGGCATAGTAGATCATATGCCTGTCTGATTCAAAATGGTCGATACCAGATCATTTCAGATCACTGATACCTAGAATATCAATCTTTATGCGTTCCATTTCATTTTTGACAACATCCACTCTTCCTAGATTCATACTTCTTATGTTCTATGTTCTACTTATTAATGGACGTATGCAGCTGTTTCTTCCCATTTCGAGTCATGCCACATCAGTAGATGGAGGTGCCAAAGCTTTACTCCATCCACTTCATTAAGGTTTACTCTACTCTGAGGAGGCACCTCATATTCTGGCACTGTACCCGACATTGTTTCAAGGCTGTTCGTCAACTTTTCCAGTACTTTATCAGATAGTGCTTCCCTGCTATTCATAAAAGTTTTCACTAGCCAATTCTCTCAGAAGTGGAATGGCCTCCTTTCCTTCTTCTGAGTCTGTCTTAGTCTTCTTAGTTTCAGCTCTGCTGAAATCCATTCACCATGGATGACCCTGCTGGTATTTGAAATATCGATGGCATAGCCTCTAGTCTCAAAGCAATATGCAAGCCACCACAGTACAAGAAACTGAGAGATGAGTGGTGGAAATAAGATATGGGATGGTATAAACTTATAAGGACTGTATAAATGAAGTGTTATTATTATTCCAGAGGGACTTTTTTTTTTAAGTCCATGCACTAAGCTTCTACTATGCAGATTTAGAAATGATGAGGATTAAGGGAAATAACAGAAATTAAAAAGAAAACATTCTTAAGCTAAAAGCATCTGTTGATAAAAACAATATACTTTATATTTAAATATGCCATCAGGAAATATAAGTTTTATTAGGAAATTTTAGACTACAGAAATATAGTTTCTATTCTCAGGTAACAGAAATTCTAAGTTTTCTAATGTCCTCAACTGAACTCAGTGCTTGAATTCTTTGAAGAATGGACACCTAAAACAATTTTAAGAAAAAGACATTAAAATTTTGTCTTCACTGTGTCTCAAAGTTTTTCCTTTTAAAATCTCTTTCAGAATACTTCAAAAATTGAGTGAAAAAAGTATCTATAGGTTTGTACCTCTAGTCCACGTAGCTGGGTCTGTTGGTTAATCTGATGGTTCAGTTGCTGTAATTCTAGTCTTAGCTGTTCCCTCTCAGCAGATGGAAGGGGTTTCCCATGACTGGTTACATCTGACATGGACATTCTCTCCCTTTGGTGGAGAGAGTATATTTTAAAGTTTTATTATGTTAAAATATTACTGACCAGGAAAATAAAAAGTTGAGTAATTTTAAAGGTTTGTAAAAGTAAAAGAATGACTCATACCTCTCACTGAAGTGTCCCTGAGAAGGTATGTTTTGATGAGGTGAATAGGGAGAACCTCCCCAGCCACCATGGGTTCCATATGGACTATAATCTGTAAGAGAATGAAACAGGTATTATGGAATTCATAGATTTGAATCTTCTTATGTGGTACCTATAATCTAAACAGTATAGGCATATTGTATACAAAGTTGTCTGGAAAAATATCTATCAAAATAGTAATAGTGTTATTGGTTTTACCCCATTGTAACTTCAGTCTTTTTCCATGTATTTTTTATCTTATAATGAAAATGTATTGTTTTATAAAAATAGTATTAAAAAAAAGGATACTTAAAAGACTCTTCAGATACATTTCATTTAATTTTACTTCATACCTCTAGAATTTCCTGAGTTATAATTAATTATCCCTTACAGATAAAATTCCATGGAAAAATTTGAGAAGTACTGCCTGGGAAGATTACTGAAAACACTGTGATAGTAATAAGGAGTAGGAGTGGTCCTGGGAATCATGAATATGAACCTTCTAGATCAGCTTATATCTGAAGATTCTTACCTGAAATGTTAAGTGATTTTGTGGGAGCTCCTTGAGGTGCCATAGCCTGCATTGGGCCAGCTCCCTGGTATATAGTTTTGGAAGTTCGAGAGATGGCACCAAACCGAGAAACTGTTGGTCGATCTCCAAATGGGATAAGGTCATCATCACTGGTTTCTGCTGCTCTTCTCTGAAGATCCAATCGCTGATCTCTCATTCCTTTACTGTCCACATTCTGATAAAAAAGTAAAATGAGAAATCCACACTACACTTAGATCTTTAATATAATTTCTTCTAATTCTGTAAAAAGTTAAGAGTCTAATGTTCTTATTGGTAAGACTAAAATCCTTAGCTGCCTTTGGTTGTCATATAAAATACTGTTTCTTTTTGTTGGTTTGCTTTTTTATTTTTGAACATTTTATTGTGGTTTAACTGAAAGCTTACAAAGCAAATTAGTTTCCCATTTAACACTTTATACACAGAGTGGTTCGTGACACTGGCTGCAATCTCCTCAGTGTGGCAGCACTCTCCCACTTCCACCCTGGGTTCCCCATTTCCATATGCACAGCTGTCCTGCCCCTTCTGGCCTTCCTAATTTTCTTTTGGTCTCTTATAGTTGAATGTTCTGAGTAGCATGTTGCTCATGGATATTACTGTTAACTTTATAGGCCTACCTATTGTTTAGCTGTAAAGTGGTGTCTAAGAGTGGGTTCAGTTCTAAGTTTGAAGGGTGTATAACAGCCAAAGTCTTGGGGGTTCTACTAGTCTCTATCAGACCAGTAAGTCTGGTCTTTTTTATGAATTTGAGTTTTGCTCTATATTTTTCTCTCACTCTGTCTGTGACCTTCTATTGTGACCCCAGTCAGAGCTGTCAGTAGTGGTAGTCAGGTACCAACTAGTTCTTATGGTCTTAGGCTTGTGGAGGCTGTGGTTCACGTGGTCCATTATTCCTCTGGACTAACTGCTTCCTTGAGTCTTTGGCTTTCTTCACTCTTCTCTCCAGACAAGAAGAGATCTATGGTTCTATCTTAGGTAGCCACTCGCAAGCTTTTAAGACCCCAGCCACTACTCTACCAAGTGGGATGCAGAACATTGTCTTCATGGACTATGTTATGCCAATGGAGCTAGATGTCTCCCAACACTAAGCTCTCAACATGCTACTCAGAACATTCAACTATAAGAGACCAAAAGGGCAACATTTGCCCAAAAGCAAAATTAGGAAGGCCAGAAGGGGCAGGAGAGCTGTGCATATGGAAATGGGGAACCCAGGGTGGAAGTGGGAGAGTGCTGCCACACTGAGGAGATTGCAGCCAGTGTCATGAACCAGTCTGTGTATAAAGTTTTATATGGGAAATTAATTTGCTTTGTAAGCTTTCAGTTAAACCACAATAAAATGTTCAACCTAGCTCTCAAACTCAGTAACTCAGTCTGATGAAATGTTTGGTTACGGCTGGAAGTCGTCTTGATTGTGCCCTCTGTGTGTTCTATTATATTCATGGATATATTTGCAGCAAGTATACAAATACATATTAGAAATCTCCACTGCCAAATCTATATATGCACATAGTTATACTTTCATACACCATATCACACCTGTTCAGTTTACGTATCTACCTGTGCATCCACTTGGAAATTCTTATTTGTTGTTACTTTAAAACACTGTTTCTTAAACCTCTGGTCACTCCTAAACAGCAAGAAATATATTTTATATAATGACCTTGTACATATGTATACATACAAATATACATATATATATAATTTCATGAGACATTTACCCTTATTTTTTTAAAAAAAAGTTGGTTATGACCCACTCTATCAATTTCAAAACTTCACTAGTTTGAAAAACAATGTATAAAAATATTACTGGAAAAATTCAGAAACAGCTAATAATGATGGTTGAACAACACAATACATGTAATTAATGTCACTGAACTATACATGTAAAGACTGTAGAAATGGCAAATGGTCTGTTACGTATATACTTACCACAATATATATATAATAAGTGCTAACATGGGTTTTCTAAAGGAATTCCAGTCAGAAAGAATTAAGTACCAAGAAAAATGGAAATAAAACTCTTAATTAGTTATCTAATTAATTGCTAGAGCCTTGTTACTCAAAGCAGTCTGAGGACTAACAGCATCAGAATCATCTGGAACTTATTAGAAAAACACTGAAGTACGACACGGAACTAGAATCTATTTGAGAGATTTTAAATTACTCCCAAGTTGGGTTGACAAAGTGTTTTATTTCTTAGATTTAAGGAAATGAGTTTATTTTCTTTTCTCCTCTATATCCCTCTTTTTCTTGGCTGGCATCCAGTCATATTTATGATATAGGTATTGTGGTAGTTAAATTTGTATGTCAACTTGGCTGGGCCTAGTTGAGTGGCTGGGTGGTGGTGGTAGTTATTCCCCAGGAGAGAGTGGCAATCAACTCAATGGTGGGATCTACCACACGCAGCTGGTAGCTGCCTTTGGGATGTGGTCTGCTTCCCATATATAAGGAGAAGCCTTGGGGATAGTCTCTAGTTTATGGCACGCTTGCACCCTGCACATAGGGTCAATGTTCAGCAGTTTGCCATGCTCTGCCGACCTTGAGACTTACAATGAATTTGAATTAATGGCCTGCCATGTGGGTTGGTAACATCAGGACTATGCCATTTTCTTTGTCGACCTTGGGCTTGTTAGCCTCAGCAGCCAGTAGCTGCCTGAATGAAGAGATGCATCTAGCTTCAGTGGGTAAGGAGCTAGAGGCAGAGCTGAAGCCCAAGGCTGAGGGGCTTTCTACACAGCCCCTAGAGCCTGGCACTTTGAACTTGGACTTAAAGCCTCCAAATTCTAAAAGAATGAACTCCTGTTTGTTCAAGCCATCCCACTGGTGGCATATTCCTGTTAAAGTGGCACTAGGTAACCAAAACAGATATCATGTCACTCATTTAGAGTGAGTGGTATTAGCATCCCAAGTCTTTCATTTCTATTACTAAAAATTGGTCTTTTCTTAACCAACCAGACAAGGAATTATCTTTTGAAGAAAACCTCTGTAATAACTTAGGGACCTGTTGAGTAAAGTAGTTTAAGAGTAATACTCAAGGCAAACTTTCAACCCAGGATTACCACTTCTAACCTTTGATACATGTAAGAGATACACAAGAACATTCATTGCATCACTGTACGTAATAGTAAAAAATTGGAATTAGCCTAACTATCCATAAACAGAAGAACAGATGTGAAAAATTGTGGTATATTCATACAATGGAATCTGATAAGCAATTAAAATTAATTAAATTGAGCTATAGGAATGAACGTAGATATATCACAAAACTCTGCTGAGTGAAAATACAAACTGAAGTATCTAATTTATACAAGTCTATAAATCTAACAAGATTGCTTAGAAATACAATAAAATTATCCATAGAGATGATAAGAACAAAATTCAGGATAGAGTTTACCTCCAAGAAAAGAAGGAAGAAGAGAAATGACATTAGGGAAGTATATATTGGAGAGATTTAATTATAAAGTATTGTTGTTGTTGTTGTTATGTGCCGTCGAGTCAGGCCTGACTCACAGCGACCCCTCCTTGGGTTTCCGAGGCAGTATCACTACGGAAGTAG